GCGTCTGTCCACTAGAGACGCTGTGGCGGTTTTTACAGCCGCGTCAGAAAGTTGTATGACTTTCTTCGCAGCCATGGGACCCGGTACGGATATCGCGAGTTTTGGGTCCAGCGAGGAATGTTATTTGTCGACTTTCGTCAAGGTCGCTGCATTCTTAGCGCCTGCGTCCTTCAATGCCTTCGAAAGACACTCCAATTTCGCGTCGAGTATCCCGATCACAGCGGAGCACTGACAGTGGTCTTTCGGAATCTGCACTGGGGACTGGGTACCGTTTCGGGGGACTCTTCTCTTCGCTGCGGTATTCATTGCACCCTTCACGTAGAGGCAGCTGGTACAGAAAAACGGGTCAGGACAGTTGGCTAGTCGGCTAAACTAGTCGTCCTGTAAACCCGTACATTTGAAGTGCCACCAGGCCTTGCAGGTGTGGCATTGCATACCGCGTTTGACGTTCGACGGGTAGCCATTTCGCCCACATCTGTTGTGGTCTTTCAATGGCTGCAGAGGGCAATCGGTATAAATTGATGTCATATTTCGGACTAAATGTAAAATAGGAAGTGTGCGCAAAATATCAAGGGTTATCTCTCAAATGTTTTGTTATAGTAATAAAATTCAACAATTACTCGTGTGTACTCTGTGAATAGCTTGAAAAACGAAAAAGTTTTCCACGAATTTGCACGATGGATAAACGAAATTCCATTTCGATCGTTCCGTGCGCACAGAAGTTCGCGAATTTGGCCTTCTTTTATTAGGTGCCAGCTTTCTCGCCTTCGTCTGCTGTTCATTTTCATGGTTGGTACTCGCTTCTGGCCGTCGTGCTTATGGGCTTGTGGCTTAGTATAGACACATTTGCAGCCACGCAATTATCCAGTGGACACAAACATTCACGTGCACCGATGCCAGCACACTTGGCCAACCAGTAAGCCAAGTTTGATTGTCGCATTCCATGGAACCTTAGGTTTACCAGAACGTAAGTTGGATAGCTACCTTGTGAGCGTGTAATACCCAAGTACCTAAGTACATGCATTAATAGTGGAAATTAGCTATAATTTTCTTTATACCAGGCCGTATTTCGGAAAATAAAGTTTCATTTTTCGGCAGCCTCAAGTACTCTGGTGCATACTATATTAACATCAGGTTGTACTTCTCATTTACATCAAGGCTCACGAAGAATGGTGATGTTAAAGCGAGCAAGAAGTGGATGAAAATAATGACGTAAATACTGCAATAAACAAATTAACACAAACTTCGCAGTTATAAGGAGCTATACTTAAATCTCGTCCGATGTCTTTAATCGTAGTGGGTTTAACTGGTCAAAGTTATGACGTTCAAAGTGAGTCGGAATGGTTTCGATGCCAAGCTGTTAAAAAATCCTGAGTCAGCACACGCACCGACCATTCAGATTGTGTTCTAAATTGAATTACAAGTGAGGCTCACTTACTGGAGATGGCAGGATGTGGGAGTTCATTGCTCTTCTCGCGCGATTCGACGGTAGAAAATGCATTCTTCATAGGCATTCATATTCAAGACAAGAAAACGTACATGGTATTTTCATCAGAGCACTCGTTATATGTGGAATATTTTTCAGCCTGCTTTTGCGTGTAAGCGGAAAATAGTTCACCACTAAACAACATCAACTGTCTCATTTACCAGGGCAGGTTAACACGCTTGCTGCTTGCGTCCAATAGATGTGGGTTGAAAGAGCGTTGTAAAATGTATTCTAATATGTCCTAAAAGTGAGATCGGTGGTCGAAAAACATAAGTTGGGCTACATCTCTGGATATATTTGAATATCTTTTATACCACTCCCGTCGACGCTGTACCGTACTTGCACTGGGCTGGGCACTTGTTATTCCGAATGGTGGAATCACGGACTCACGGATTGTTACGCACGACAGAGGCCTTTGCCCAAGTTTCACGCATCGTTTTAGTTCTTGTCGTTTAGCGGATGCCGTCCACCTGAAGGGCATGAGCAAAAAAGGGTGTAGCACTACTCTTTAAGTTCTCAGCGCAAGACAGTAAGCTTACCAGCGCGAGGACTTGCATAAAATGCCCAGTATTTTTTGGAACTGCGTTCGTTAAACTGTGTTCCCTTCATGTTATGCCCGTCATTCAAACCAAGACTAATGAACGAGAGAAGGCTGCTTCTCCGTTTTTCGCCTATCGCCCGGCAAACTAGGGAAAGTGTCAGCCTTAGAAGTTAGGCTTCCTCCAGTACATACACACTGAAACGACTGGAACTTTTGGTGCTAGTGGGTAAAAGCGCGATAGATGGGTGGAATCACTTTCCTTCTACATCTTCTTATATGCGCTCTGAAAACTCGTGGTCGTATCAGAACCTCGTCTGCTTTCCCTCGGCTTTCTGCAGCGCTCATATTCGCCCAATAGAATTGAATTGAATTTTCGAAAGCTAGGACGTCTCTAATGGACTAAAGCCATTGGGCGTTTAGGTTCTGAGTACCAGTGCAAACTTTTAAGCCACATTTGGGCATCTCCGGTTCTCAGAAATGCTGGGAAATTATTCCACCAGTCTCTTCCGCCAGAGGTACGGTTGCTTCATTGGACAATGAAATTTGGTCAGCTGCAAAAATATATCCGTAGATTGAGGAGGCGTAGATTGAGATAAAATAAACAACAAAATACAAAATTCTGGTGCAAAACGTTTCACTCCATTCCTAAGGGTTTTGCGGATAGGATCGTTGTGCGTTTAATTAACCCCTTCCTGCTTGTGTGTAAGCCTCTTGAAGTATTCTCAACGGCCTTGGATTTTTCAAGGACGCCTTGGCTTTCCAATATGTCGGAGCACATGTCTGGCGTGCAGTACATTCGTGTGAGTGAGGATGAAGATGAGAGCCCTATTGAAGTGCCGATGGAGGCTGATGGCACTGTACTCCTCACGACCTTAAATTCGGTTTTTCCCAAGGCGACGGGTCTAAAGTATCTCGCTACCGACTCGGGATGCTTCCGCGGCGTACGATTGAATGAAGGCAGACTCTACGCCCCTGAAGAAGGTTGGGTTCATTCATATATTTGTGCGTTTCCAAAAGGTAGGTGTATGTCAGTGTTAACTTTCGCTTTTTAGCTGATAAAAAACGTAAGGTAGAGGAAGACCAGGATTCTCAGTCCGCTAAGTCAAAGAAGGTGGAAGGCAGGAAATGCACCGATCTTATTGTTCTCAACTTGGCTTGGAAGACAGATGAGACCACTCTGCGTGAATATTTTTCAAAGTACGGCGAACTAGTCATGGTTCAAGTAGGTCGGGAACGTTGTTTCACTCCGTCAGGTTAAAAGACATCCAGGTAGTCAACAAAGTAAGGGATACGGTTTCATTAGATTCGGTGCTTACGAGTCCCAGCCAGCGTGTCTTGCAGAACGACACTACATTGATGGACGATGGTGTGACGTCCGTGTCCCTATGTCCAAAGTAATAGCCGCTCTGTTTACTGATTCTTGCAGCTTGAGGGTGACAAGCAAGAAGTCAGTCGAAAGGTTCATGTCGGTGGTTTATCCGAGAGCATAACTCCAGACGTCCTGCGGGATTACTTCTCAGAGTTTGGAAAAGTTAGTTGCACCTTTTAAGTTTTTTCATCTTGCAGGTCGTCGATGTATTTGTACCCAAACCTTTCCGGTCCTTCGCATTCGTGACATTCGAGGATGCAGAAGTAGCTGCTACACTTGTTGGAAAGAAGCAGAGGATCGATGATTGTGAAGTAACGATCGGGTCAGCAGTTCCAAAGCTGCCACAGCAGCCTCCCCGCCCTATGCCCCCAATGCAGCCGCCCATGCATATGCACATGCCACCGAATCCTTGGGGTAAGTGTCATTTCTCACGCAATGATTCGTAGGCTGGGCGTATCCTCCAGCTCACGAGCCAATGAACATGCGCAATTATGGACCTTCGATGCGTGGCGGGAACATGCCCATGTCTGGCTACCAGGGTGGAGTCAATATGATGCCAGCACACCATGGATCTCCCGGAGCACCATATCAACAGCCTTATGGCAGACCTTATTCGCTAGCCGGCCATCGAATTTAGTGATGCTTGTGAGTCGACCCTTTCGTTTGTATTGTGATCTAAACATTAGATTGCATCACCGCTTAACCACGGCAGTGTTCGCATTTCAGAAAATACTGCCTGGTTCCATTTATATAGGATCGCGGGGTCGCTAATGGAAAATCCCGTGAAAACTCGCCTCCATGTTCATTTGTGAGCCACTTATCTGTTGGACTTGGTCTGTCGATAATTTCTGATGGAAGCTGGTGCAAACTATGTGGGTTGCACTAGTTCAACCACATCGCGTTTCGGAAGCTCTGCTTCACGGAGGCCTCTTTCCTCATCCCCACCGTGTGAAAACGATTCCGTTTTTTTGGAACGGATATGAAACCTGGCCGTCTTGGCAACTCGGCCCACTGAATGTGAATGCAGACTCGATGCGCATAATGGATGAGTGGCCACGGTGACAGCGCAACCAACAGCACCTTGCATCAAACCACTTCGCAGTACTGGAGCAACTGCCGCTGTAGACTGAACTCGCTCAGTGGGTGTCTTGCGCTTGCATACCTAGTAACCTGTTTGACCATTCGTGCATCCGAAACATTACACTGCTCTTTTGGGTATACTAGAATTACGCCAGCTGGTTTTCAGGAAGGATGGCCTTCCATCGATAGTGCAGCTGGTCGCACTCCATAAGCTGCGTTTGTTAAGCCATGGACTCCATATGCCAGATAATCATTGGCCTTGCACAACCGTTTTCACCCAGCAATGTATCGGATGAACATGACCCCGGGACGGTTATTCCAGGAGCTGGTAGCAAAGTCTGAAAGGCCTTGTCGATTAGCTCGCTCGCGTTGGTAACTACGGTCCCCTCTGAGGGTCCGGGAACGTGTTTACCGAATAGGCAGTGTCCCTGTGAGATGGCTCTTCCACACGGTCAGTGGCATTTCTGCATGGAGGCTACTGTCTCCATTGCTCCCCTCCCACTCTGCCAAAATTCACAAAAAACAATTCAGCATTCGAACCCCCAACGCGTCGCTGAAACTCTCCTGTTCTGCATCTGTCACGAAAAGCCTGAACCTTACCGTGGTGTTACGGTTTGTGTAATTCCGCGACCCACTGATCTATATAGGGGGTATCCGTGTGACACTTGCAGTCTCTCATTGCCAGGTTAGTCAATGGTTAGAAGTCTGACGAACACAGTTTCCCGGTCCTCCAGGTTAGGGGTTGGAGCATGTTAGGTGACTTGTTCTATAAAAATGGTAGTGCGTTTGCGTTTCCCTTGCAATCAGCTTTTCAGCCGAAGACTTTGGTTGAGGACCCTAATCGTCTTCCTGTCTCGGTGTGGGTGCCCTTGAAGCATCCCAATCCACGTACAACCATTAACTGCACACAGTACGGCAGCGAAGCGTCAGGGTTGGAGAATGATATCTTGCTGTCGATGACGATGTTCTGCATTTATCTTTGAAACGTTATACTCCGGTACATGGTTTACAGTTCAGTTGAAGCTACTTCGTAATTGACTGCCTGTCTTCGCTCGGGTTTTTCGGCCTCGCCTAATTTTCGTATGTCCACCGATGTTCCTAATGCTTCCACTGTGTTTCTGAATTGAAGAATGTTCGGTTCTTTCGACCGGTTCGTTCTTTTCAACAAGTTTATCCCATAGAGTATGCCTCAGGAGTTCGCGAATATCGTATGCTCTCCGTATTCACATATTTGTGGGTGCGTTAAATTGTATGGGGGGCTCTCCAAACATTTGTGTCCGGCAAGAATTTTACTCTCTCCAGTTTTGTCTACTCGAGATAGCTCTGGTTAGGGAAGGTCCGTGGTTCGAACTCGACCTCTGCACCTCGACTGTTCCTGTCTGCTTGGGCAACCTGGCGATACCCTCGCACTTGTGCCTTTCGTTGGCATGGCAGCTAGTTACCCAAACGGTGCTACAGCTGAACGACGGCGGCGGCTCACTACTAATGAGGTGATGAAGCAAGCGCTGGTACGTCTCCCGAAATCCGGTGTTAGACTCTTCGATCGGGAACCTTGTTGTCTTGGAATATGCAGACAATATTATTATCAATCCTGAAAAGGGGCGGGAGGTGCAACCAATACCAGATAAAATGACCATCCGTTCATTCGGCACATGTTTCCACCTACAAAGCACAAAGTCATGTCCTCGACTTACAGTCTGAACATGTATTTCAGAGTTACCCTGGAAGTTGTGGAACAATACGTATCTTGGAGGTTGCATTGGCACTGTCGGTGGTGTGGCAGACGAACTGAATGTACTGTTCCCAAGCTGGAATTGCTTTTGCCAGTTTGCGCTACTTGTAGCCTCAAAAAGGTACACCACTTTCAATACGCATGTTTTGGACTATGTTGCGAGTTGCAGCGTTATGTGGCTGCGAGACTAAATCGCTTCGGGTGGAGTATCTAAAGCATCGTCAGGATTTTGATAACTGGTCTTGGAACCATATCTGACAGCGAATTCGCAATGGGATGGTCAGAAAACGAATCAGACGGTACTTCACTGAAGAAATACATCCAGTACTGTAGGCTAAGTTGACGGTCATGCGCCGATTTTCCGTCTGCCGAGAAGTGTTGTTTCCCACGCCTAACTTGGATTGATGGACGGAATGTTGTGTGGTGCTCGAACTGAAGGATTTTAGGAAAACTTGCGCTGTCGGTGCTGTTTGCCTTTGAGGATCGGGCCCGAATTACCTTGGCTTGGGGCACAAGTATATGGGGACTAACCGATGTTGGTGGCATTCTTCCTGTCATTTTCTATTCATATTGTCCCAGTGAATGCTAGAGTTGTAAGCATGTCGGACGTCTTTAGTGGGCTAGTCTTAGGTCCACTTCCCTGTCCCGTTTTTTTCTTTACGTTACACGGCTTTATTCATGTGATTTGACATGGCTGTACGTCAGTTACCCAGTAGTTGTCCTTTATGGTGTTAATGATGATAGTCGGTACTTAATACCTCCCTTGGGTCAAAGCCGTCATTAAGTAGCTGTTTCTACTTACCCTAACTGCCAACAAGGTGAGATATTCGTATTCATTTTACCCATGTGAACAATACCTCTATTCTGTCCGAATTCTGGTTGCAACAGGACAGGAGTACTGTTCCGACTGCAGTAGTGAGTACAATCCCACGCCTGTTCAGACGTGATAATTCAGATGCGTCCAACGTGCGTTGGTTGAGTAGTGGTTACACGCTCGCCTCGCATGTCAGATGTCCGGGGTTCAAATCCCGGCACGGCCATTGGATATGCACTGCTGATGAGCTCTAATAAGAGCGAAACTCGAGTCCAATGCTTCCCTTTGGTGTGGACTTACCGGAATAATTACGCCAGAACAGGAACATGGCCGTTCAAACGAGAGTGGTGTGGCTATGAACAAAATCCCAAAAAGTATAAACATCAGCGATGGACTAATTGCGCCATAGGAACATGGCGTTCAAACGAGAGTGGTGTGGCTATGAACAAAATCCCAAAAAGTATAAACATCAGCGATGGACTAATTGCGCCATGGTTTGCTTCACTTCCTGGTCTCGCTGGGACACCCCAGCTTGGTGTTGGACCCCAAAACTAAAGCAAATCTCCATATTACACTTTTCGCCCTGGGGCATTTTAGTGGTCTTCGCGCGTCGGCTTGCGGTATGTGAGATGGGGGAATTATACTCACTCAGGCGCGATTTGCTTAAAGATAGTTTTGATATGTGAGATGTGGGAATTATACTCAGGCGCGATTTGCTTAAAGATAGTTTTGTGCTTCTGCTCGATGGAGACCAAGAACACTACCATCATCGACAGCATAGCATCAGCATTCGAATACTGGTGCTTTGCTGTTGTGCAACAATTGTCTATTTGAAAGCCCTTTTGGAAGAAAAAGATGAAAGTGGATAAGAAAGGGACTTAATGCGAGCCTATGACAGTCATCCCGAGGTATCTATATCTCCAGACACTCATTCAAACAATCTGAACAAAAACTGACAACAGGATCGCCACTGACATCGATTGAAGTTGACATCGATCTTGAAGTCTCCAACCATGCATACAGGAGATCACGTGGCCTCATCCTGGAAGGCGGGCAGCATCAACAGGATCCATACATTTCGTATTCGATTCCATTTTCCTCCACCATGTCAAAGGTTAGCAACTCTTCTTGCACCACTCCAAATTGGGCACGAAAAACAGCACTCTTTTCGGTGAATGGTGGTTCGGCATTCGTAATGTATGACTAAACCACGTTGACTTCCGGTGCTTGCTATATTATTTGACTGAAGTCCTGGTAACACGAACAAACACTCGTTTTCTAACTGACTCGCTGCGAATTCGCTGAGACCAGCCTACACAGGCTACGGTTCTGAGGCAGCCGTTTTCTCTGTTCGCCTGTTCCCGGAAGCTGCTGCTCAATTATACAGCAAAACAGTCCGTATTGCAGCCTGAAACACATATCCTTTGAGATTACTGGATATGCTGCTTTGTCTTTAATTATCAAAGGTCAGCGAAGGCGTTGATACTACAATTGGAATTAGTATAACTTCGAATGCTTTTCCTTGGATTGTAAGTAGTGTATTCAGTGACTGCATGCCCCGAAGCCTGACCTTACACTTTGTGCGTGCAAAGCGCATGCCAAAGGATGGGATGATTTTGGTCACTTTGTTCAGAAACTTGCGCCATCTTTGAAAACGAGAAAATTATCGTCTGCACATTCCAGATCTACAAGGTTTTTGTTGCCAGCCGTTAAACATCAGGATTTTGATTAGCTTTTAGAGTTTGTCTCATTATCTCATCGGTTGCGAAAGTATATAAGCATGAGATGAATACACCTTCGGGGAGCTTATATTCTCACGATTGAAGGTCGGTTTCACATGACTATAATTACAATTAGAAATGAGCTACAAGCTCAGGTCGTTTAGTGATGTGTTGCCGTTGCTGGGTTATCGTCAAGGGTGAAAAGTGCTATTTCTTTTGACTTATTCGGAGGGGAACAACGTGACACGACAGGACTTGACGGAATCCCAGTTGAATCACATTCTGGG